CTAAAGAAGGTATTTGAAATGAACAAATTATTGGTTTTGCAGAATTCTGTCATGTGATCTCCAGCATCATTTCTGTCACCAAGGCCATATTTTCCAACTACTGGTCCTTCCTCTTTGCTCCCAACCTTTGCATTCCAATCACCAGTAATGATCAATACATCTTGATTGCATGCTTGATTGATTTTAGGTTGAAGAAGTTGGTAGAATTCTTCTGTTTCATCTTCATTGGCTTTAGTGGTTGGTGCGTAAATTTGAATGATAGTGGTATTAACTGGGCTTCCCTATAGGTGCATGGATATTATCTCATCACAGACAGTGTTGTACCTCATAACTGATCTGGATATTCTTTGTGACAGTGAATGCAACATCATTCCTCTTCAATTTGTTATTTTTGGCATAGTAAACCATGTAGTTGTCAGATTCAAAATGGCCAATACCAGTCCATTTCAGCTCACTAGTGCTTAACATATCGATGTTTATGTGTTCCGTTTCATTTTTTGACAACTTGTAATTTTCCCAGATAAAATACTTAGTACATTCCATGTTCTGATTTTCAGTGCATGTTTACAGCTGTTTCTCTTCATTTTGAGTTGTGCCCCATCTGAAAATGAAGGTCCCACAGGCTTTTCACCCACGGGCTTTACTCCTTTCGGTTCATCATGGTCAGCTCTACTTTGAGGAGGCAGCTCTTCCCCAGTCACATTTTGAGTGCCTTCCAACCTGAGAGGTTCATTTTCTGGCACTATATCTGACAGTGTTTCTCTGCTACTCATAAGGTTTTCAGTGACTTAAATATTCGGAAGTAGTTCATCACTCTTTTTTCCTAATCTGTCTTTGTCTGTTAGTCCACCATTGTTGGCCCTGCTGGTACTTGAAATACTGGTGGCACAGCAACTCACAAGCCACCACAGTACAACAAACTGACAGACGAGTGGTGGATGTAAGAGATTAAGCGACATAAATTATATATGTTTTTGTTCTTAATTGCTGTGTCATAAGTTCCAACTCATAGCAACCCCTTATAGTGTTTCCAAGGCTTTAAATCTTTATCTGAGCAGAAAGCATGCTCTTTCTTCTGCTAGATTATATATGAGAATGTTTAAAATGGCAAATTAGAATTCCAGAAGGAGAGGGAAAAATATACATAGAAGAAAACAATTATTTAAAGAAACAATACATAAAGCCACATAAGACTCAAGAAGCCCAACAAACCACATGCAGGATAAATAAAAGTAACTCTACAGTTAAAATACGTAATGAAACTGCAAGAAACCAAAGAAAACAAGGAAATCTTAAAGGCTACTTGAGGGAAGAAAAGTGGACTAGAACCTCCAACTTTTGGTTAGCAACTGAACACACTGACCATTTGTACCACCCAGAGATTCCCTAGCAGATGTAAACCCTGATTTTATAATACATTTCATTAAATATACTAACTGCTTCAATTAAAGAACAAAGATTGTTAGACTGGTATACTCTGATTCCAAAAGGTTTATCTGAAACAGAAGTGATGGAAA